AGAAAAAATTGCAACAAAGTTAAACGCCATAATTTTTACATTTTCTTAATTTTATTGAATGAAGAAAAATATGTCGGAAAATAGCATCAAATTTTAGAATAAGTTTAGATTTGTTCGAATTGGTCACCTTTGGCACGAATTATGGCCTTCAAACGCCCACTTAAACCTTCACACGCTGCCCGAATGTTGTTCTGCGGTATTTTTGGCCTCTTCCCTGTGAAGCGCTTGCTTGAGGTGATCGACACTTTGGTATTTTTTAGTGGCAACATTGCTTTCTAAAATACTCCAGAAACAATAGTCAACGGATTGGTATCCGGAGATTTTGGTGGCCATTGTGCGCTAGAAATGAAGCGAGGAACCTCATTTTGTATCCATTCTTGGGTGGCGCGTGCTGTGTGCGATGGTGCTGAGTTCTGTTTGAATGTCCCTCCAGAATATTTTCGCGATAATATTCGGCGTTTATTCTGATGCCACGGTCGATTAATACGAGCGGAGAGCGACTATCGGCTGTTATGGGGGCCAACACCATCACCATGGCGGGCGCTTGAGTTCTGGTGGCCAACCGAAGTTGCACATTTTTAGCTGACCTCTTTGGCAAGAAAAACCCGTTCTTTACAAACTGCTGGACAACGAATGTTTTCTCATTAGAGAAAACCAAATTCGGTAGTTTACCACTTTCGGCCAAGCGAAGCAAATCTCTAGCTCTTTTGAGTCAATTTTCTTTCTGTTGCGGTGTAAGTACTTGCACTTTTTGGAATTTCAATGGCAATTGCAATGTGTTCAGCTAACGAGCCATTTTTCGGCCACTGCAACGCCGGTTTCAATCAAGTCGCTTCTTTACTTTTCGAACCATTTCTGCTGATGTTGCTGTTTTCTTCCTTCCACTTCCTTGACGTCGGGCTATGCTACCAGTATCACGGTAACGAGCGATGGTACGAGACACAAAATATTTATTCACATTGAAATACTGGGGGTCTCTAACGATAGCCAATTGTGTTTTCAGCCGAATATAAAGAAATCACACTATCACGCTTGAATTCCATGACGAATAACTTTTTTTCTGGAAAATTCTCACCAAAATGCTTTTATACGCTTGTAAATAATATAATGAGCAGTCATTGGAATAATTTTAAGAGCTGTCGGACGAGTGGCTTAGAAATGACAGCACTCTAAAGTTGGTTGCAGTTTTTTCATCTCACACTGTATTTAGCATTTCTTTATGAATAGACAAAGAATCCAGTGCCCAGCCAGACAACTGTGCAAGTGCTTTTTGCATTAGGTCGGAAATAGTTGAAGGAAATATACCATTTATCAGCATCACTACGTCGTCCTACATGCAATATAGTTTTTTGGGTTGGCAGTGAAATGAAAAGTTGATGAGAAATCTAGCACCCCAATTTCTACTTTGCAAGACTTTTATAGGCAGAGACGAATTTCAAAATCAATCAAACAAAATACAAAAAGTAACTGAACAGTTTATCTTTATTGGGTGGCGGGCGAACATCATTTAGATCCATATACTTTCTCAACTTCGGCAAATATTTGAGTATTACATCAAGTTTTTATAGTTGCAAATTAACTATGGTATTCAAAAAAACAACGAGATTAAGCCTGACTATTTTGCAACAATAAACGTACACTGTTCAAGTATTTCTAAATAATTTCTTTTGAACGTTTTTCCCCTGCACGTACTACATATGTGAAAAATCAAATCGATTTGCAGAAACCCCAAACACATTTTCTAAATTTAGCTGGGAATGATCTATTTACGAAAAATTAAAACTGTCACCAACATAAAAATATCCAACAAGAAAAACATTTCATAATTATTTTTAACTTTATTTTCTGAGAAGAAAACAATTTTTAAATATAAAAAACAAACACACATAAAAAATTAATCTATTGCCAAGGAGGTGGTAAAATACAAGCACACACCCACAAACATCAGAGGAGTGCAAGGGAGGGGGGAGGTAATGATGTCGAAGGCAGAAGAAAATGGATGATTTGTTTATATTGGTTTGAAAGATAAAATGGATTATAACTCGTGATCTTAGAGAATTTTTCTCAAATAGCAGGGGATGGAAATCTCAATAACCCCTCCCCTCCCTCCTCTATGTCCCCACACCGACACACACACGCTTCGTATTTCATAAATTTGAAATATGCAACAGCACAGCGAAAGCAAAAATAAATGACATGCAGAGAGAGATACAAAAACACAAAAGTATAGATGGATGTGTGTGTGTGTGCGCTTGCCCTGAACTTGAAAGTGAAATGAAAATCCACCAACGGGAAAATTATATGTTTTTTTCATTTTGACGTCAAATATTGTCACGTTATGAATTCATCAAAAAGAACGAACGCAGCGTACAAACAACAAACAAATGAAAATGAAAAATAGACACACACAGATATGCCACTTAATCCCAACTTCAAAAGAATCTCTCTAATCCCCCACCGACAAGTAATTAAATTTTAATTGCAGCCATTAAAATCAATGCACTAATGCCTTAAACTAGATATTATTGTCTCATCGTTTCTCTTCTTTTGTTACTGAGCGAATGGACATTTAATTCAAGCATTTGACAGGGCAATGGTCCATGGGAAATTATGTATAAAATACTATATATACGTATTTTTTTAATTTAAAAAAATATATTTTTGACGTTTAGCGGAGGTGGAAGAAAGAAAGAAGCGGCTTTCAGTAAAAATTCCATACATTGATTTCATCAGGAATATTTAGTTAATTTATTCTTCGGAATCCAAGAATTATTGATGTTTTTTGCTTTCTTATAGAGAAAGATGGGTGATCCACACCTTTCAATCCTCCAAGTTTCCTGGTCCTGATGGCATTAGACCTGCGTTGTTGCAAAATGCATTTGAGACGGGGTGGGCTATCTTCCTGGAGATTTTTAAAGCCTATCTTAAGTTAAGGCATCTAAAGAAAAAAGGCAACTGTGACCTATATTCCCAAAGCCGGGAAACTTAGTTGCGCCTTACCTAGCGTCCTTAGACCAATTAGCTCTCTTTCTTTCTAATGCAGATGTTGAATCAGAAATACGTTCAAATTTAAATATAAATTGACATAGACATACATAGGTTCGGTCAGTTGAGACAGCCCTACACGAAGTTGTCGGATACATTGAGGAAAACATGGAAAACTCCAACTTTACTTTGACAGCTTTCCTCTATATAGATGTGGCTTTAAAACGTGTGTGTGTCGATTTATAATGATATCCAAGCCTCTGGTATGTCCTCTTTCCTGATTAAATGTAGTATGCTAAAAAGCTGAATTATCAATTACATTTTGGGAGAGGGATGCAGGGACGGGTTCTTTAACCCTGCTTTTATATCCGACCAGCTTCGAATAATGCCAATCGCATATTCTGATTAGGTGTTGTTAATAAGCGGTAGATTTCTTGTAACTATTACTAACCTAATGCAAAGGGCACTAGTACAGTAGTCTTGTTGGGCCCTCAACTCATTCAATACTATTCTTGCAGTCCTATACTGGATGTATGTCACAGTGGTCTTACCTGTTCTGACATTGCGTGCCTTATATGTTTTCATGCGATTACATCAAGGGCACTAAGTCCAAATTAAACACAGTGCAGACATACGTATCCTTACAGCAATTGCCAATTTGTCTCGATGTGCTTTTTAACTTCCCGGTACGGGATATTTTGGCTGAATTAAAAGCAGTAAGGAATGCGCTGAGACTGCGGTAGGCTCTTTACGTTTTGATCATGCACAAATCCTGGATATACCAATTAGTCGGAATATATTAGGTCAACGTAAAAGGATTCGATATAACATGTCTACCTTTTTCGACTTCAATTACATTAATCTTAGTATACCTGATAGGGATGACTGGGCTGGAGGCGAACCTCTGGTCAGTTTGGCCATCTATACAGTCCTTGAACTCGTTTAGTTTTCTTGGGTTCCAGGACATAACAATTTAGTAGGGAATGAAGTGGCTGATAAATTAGCTCGAGGCGGATCCCAGTTGATTGATCTACCGATCGATGAGACTGTTTCTAAAAATCCTGATAGAAGAAGCTGGAAGAAGTTGGCACTCTAGGGCCATCTGGCTGGCAATCTTAAGAAGAAGAAGAACCTGCTTCCTTCTATCACTTAGTAGTTCTTATCTAAGAATCGTGGTAGGGCATACTGATTGGTCACTGTAGTATCAAATATCTGACATCAAGATGGGACAACAAGGTTCCTGACTGCTGTGAAATATGTGAAGATGAAGGAGAGGTTGAGACGTTTGAACATCTACTTTGCATATGTCCCAACAAGAGACATAGGTTATATGGCAGGTGGGAGATAGAAACTCCAGCGTTCTTCTTAGACATAGATCCCATCATCATCTATAAGTTTGCCAAAGGCAGGTTTGATACCCAAACTGGCGGAGGTCTCATAGCGACTCCACTATCCAGATTCCATTCATATTTTGCTTGAATGCTTTAATGTGATCGTAACCACCAGCTTCTCCCTTTGTAGCTCTGGCAGGAGTTTGGTTCGTTCTTTGTGTTAACATTCAAAATATGTGATTCCATGTCCTTTATTAAATATCTTCTCCCTAATTTCATAATCTATGCATGGCATTAATTATTTGAAACATCACGTTTAGGACTCACTCTTCCTTCGGCAAGAATTGAAGCATACAAGATATGAGGCTATTCTCTCTTCCCTGCCCCACAAAATTTGTTTTTTTTTTTCTTAATCAAAAAATTATTTTTGGACCTCCCTAATATATCAATATCCTACACTTTGCAAAGTTAAATCATTTCCATTAACGAAAAGTTTCTCATTGTTTTGACGAATTACTGAAGTCTAGTTTTATCGAATTCTCCCACTGACCCAACCTATTTCTGCATCTTCTGAAGCTTAATCTATGCCCATTTTTTCTCAATGGTCCTCATGACTTTAAGATTACAATCATTTGATTTCTTATTAAACCCCACTTCCCTTCTCTTCTTTTCCGGAAAAAATAGAAATTGTTGCCGAGGTCTTGGAACGGCAAAAGAAACGACGTGATAAACTGGCAGCGGCACTGCGTGAAAACAAGAAACGTCTGGGCCAGGTGGAACAAGAAGTCAATTTAATAACAGGTACCATACCAGATGGTTTAGCTGAAAGACTGGATACAGAAATACAGAGATTAAGGTCTGAATGTCAAGCAATGCTGAGGAGTAGTAAGTAGCACAACAAACAAAAATACCCCTTCTTTTTGGCTCTATCGACCATTATTTATCTAAATCTCCTCCCCACCTTTCTAGGCAATCCAATGGCCAATCAACATAGGCCTCCACCACAACAGCAACAGCAACAAACACCACAACCATTCCCAAGACAACGATGTGTCAGACCACCAGCGCGACCGCCACCACCACGTCAAACCAGCCTAGACATAATACAACATCATTCAACAACAACACCCACAACACCTCACACACCTGCCTCTTTGCCAAATTTCAACAATTCGACTCTATCGTCGTCGACGACTTCCCTACTGGGGCCAAGTTTTACGCATCAACAATATCAACATTCGCATTCACTATCTCCATCAATATATTCACAACAACAACTGCAACAGCAGCAGCAACAACAATCGCCGTTATCTTATCAACCACCACCAACAGCATCGCACCATTCAGATTTCATTCCGTCATCGTCATCATCGTCGGGTACCTACAACGGCCTGATTGATTCGGATACCGATAATGGTGACTATGATGACGACGACGATGAGGAGCAAATTGAGCACTGGGAGTGCAGTATGTGTACATTCCGTAATCATCCGCAATTGAATATTTGTGAATGCTGTGACAACGTGAGAATATTGCCTGGTACGCTACAAAATCTCTCCCGAGCCATGTCCACAAATTCAGCTTGTTCCGAAGCCGGTGCAGCGGCTGTAGCTAATAGATCTGTAACAAATGTCAATGCTTTGCGCAGTGCCAGTGGTACTTCGTTGAATTCCAATGCGAGTGCGAATGCAACAGCTGCTGCAGCTGGTGGTGCATCAAGAAGTGGCAATCTAGAGCATGATACTAATTTGGCTCAACAACAATTACAACATTTTGCTTTGCATACTTAATTAATTGCTAATCTGTGTGCCCTTTACAAAACCATTTGCTGCTCCTTTATTCTAGTTTATCTTTTGCCGTTCCAAGAATATTATTAACTTCAAAAAATAATCTTTATTAATTCTTAATGTTTTAAGCATGAAAACAGCTTTTGTTTCTTTGATTATTTAATGCAGTTTTATTCATTTTTTGTTTAATGTTTTTCTTTTTTTTTAACTCCAAACCATGTTGTAGTTGTTCGTTCTTTTTTATCTAAAACAAAAACTGTATGTATGTACGTATGTCTGTTTTGTAATGTAAGTATCTTTAATCTGTGATAGTAAATCAAAAAAGTCTAAATGTGGGTAAATTATATATATCTACCGCCCAACAAAAAGAGTTGTTGTTATAATAGCAAACCATACTTGCAAGTAGCCAAACAAACAAAGACAATGAAATCTATTTAAAACAATAAAAACTATATATATATATAAATTCGATAATATAAACAATTATACCTAAATAAAACATACTATACATATTCCCTTCACCATGAATGTCAGTTATTGTTATTTCTTTTTTCAACAAATTCCAAATATAAAAAAACAATTTGAAATGCAAAAAGATATTTAAGGTATTTTACATTCAAATCTCCTTCCAAGAAAAATCATAACATATCTAACAACACTTTACATACCTTTTCTCTCTGTTAACTTTGTTGGGAAAGATTCGTTTCCTTTCTAAGAAAATGTGCAAAAGATGAAAAGGTAAGAGGAAAGGTTAGAGTAAGAAGTATATCAGTAGGCAACAATAATAAAAATATTACTTAAGGTCCAGATAAACTAGAATTTAAACCATTTGGGTTAGGTTAGGTTGAAAAGAGGGGCGAAACAATCGCACATGTCCCGGTTGACATATACTTAAGCCAGTATAGGCCTGTAGTGCGCTCTAGACTAAAAAGCTTGTTGAAAGAAGACCGGCAGTTTTCAGTCTATCATATTTGAAATTTAGATGGCTTAACTAAATTTCTCAACTGTTTAACTATTTTTACCATGATCTCATTAAGGTCTTGTATGGAGTCGTTCCCTAAATATTGGGATCTAATATTTGCAAACGCTGGACATTGGCAGAGAAATATTTCGTCATCTTTCCCGCAGGCCCTGCATATGCTGTTATCTGCACTTCTAATTTCATACAGATGTGCTTGTATGCCCATATGTCCCATAAGCATGCTTGTTACCCAGCTAATCTCTTTCTTATATATTAATAAAAGACTCCTTGTTTTTATCTCATTGGAGTCGCCCCAAAGGAAGGTTCATTTCTACCTTTCCTGCAACGAATGTATGCACTGGGTTAAAGACTTTTGCTCAAAATCACCCAGTTTATTCCCAAATCTGTTAAATCTGTTCAATTCTATTGTCACTTAATCTAGTTCATAGTTACCACGCCAACTTCTACTCGTTTATAAAGAATTGTAGCATCTAGAAATTCTGTCTGACTGACTGTTTGACGTGAAACTACTCGCAACTCACACCCTACCTTCTCCCTTGATTCTTTTTCAAACCCCACAGTGAAGATTATAAGACTTTCCAGAAATTGTTGATTTATCTCCCTGTAGTTATAAAAATCGGTACAGTTCGATATATATTATATATTTCGGACACGACGATCTCTTAGCTGAGCCCCACAAGCAACCTAGACATACAACCATTGTGTCTTCTGTGGTCTAAACCCCTGGTAAAAATGGCAACAATATTGACCCTTGTCCGTATGTTCCTCAGTGTGCCATTTCCATAATAATTGATGATTAGTCAAGTACCATAATTTAACGGCCGTAGAGGGACTTAAATCCACAATATTCAAGATTGGCTGTAGCAATTGTTAATCAATCTTCCAAAATTTATATCGACATTCCCTCTTGTGTGCCGCCCCAACAAACGAACCAAATTGTGAGAAAAATCAAATATCTCATCGAAATCGGAGGGAGTATCATATTTAGTTGAAGTTGAAATAATTTTTAAACATTAAACATATAATTTTTAATAACAATACGATTTTCTTCGAACCCCGCACATTTTACGTCCTGTTTCTATTTTTTGCCGATATAAGATGAAAATGAGATATATCGGTCCACTTCCTCTGGTACATCCTCAACGAAGAGTAGCTCATTGAATCCAAAATACTTGCATAGTAATATTTGTATCATATGTCCTCGCACCTTTCCCCCAAAAGATCAACATTTAAATAACACTTATAAAGTGTGAAAATAACCAACGATCTTCCTCAAACTAGATTTTAGTGGATTTTAAGGCCAATTTTGTGGGACCTATGGTCCTGGTTATATTTTCCAACCGTCTGGCTCTAATTTGAGTAATGAGTAGAAAACACCCTCGCAAAAAAGTTTTACTATAGAACGAGAATACGGATCGACCCCCATAGAACCACAGAGTTCTAATTATGGATATTTCGATTTCCTATCCTTATAATACACTCAGCCATATGGCTAGAGAGGGTATATATCATTGGATACGGCCAAAACGTGGCTCATCGAAATAACGTGTTTAGACCCAAGGTATCTTTGGACCAAATCCGTTCGTCCGTCTGTCTGTCTAGCTGGCTGGTGCGCACGATAACAAACTTGATACATCGTATATTATTGTCAAACTTATGGAGATGGGCAATATCGGTCCACTCCTTCTGGCAAATCTACCACAAAATATCAACATTTGCAAAGAAAATAATTAACTGCACAGAAAAAGAAAGGATAATCCGATTTAGCTCCAACTTTGCAAATCCTAATATTTGCATCAGTTCTAGGTCAGGTGCGAAAATTGACAATTTCGGCCCACTCCATTATGTACCTCCCCCACAAAGGGTCAATATTTTAAATAATTATAACTCATATAAAATGTGATGCAAGTATTTGATTGTCAAATTTCACACATCTTAATATTTTTATTAATTTTGAATGTTAATGAAGCTCATAAAACACGAAATTATCACCCGATTCCTTACAGACTCACCGCATCTCAATATTTCTATCAACACAATATCTTTTGTAAAGATGGAATAGATCAGAACATTCCTTCTGGTATCTCCCCCACGAAGGGTCAAAGTTTTGAATAACCAAACCGATAAAATCCGAAATGAGTATACATTCTCTTTAAATTACACATATTACAATATTTTTATTAACCCAAGGTCTGGTGTGAAGATGGAATATAACGATCCACTCCTTCTGGTACCTCCCCCACAAACGATTAAAAATTTGAGTATCCATGAAGCTAAAAAACGAAATTGATCTCTGATTCGGACTTGCTACAACCCCATATATTTCTATCAACACAAGATCTGTCATAAGGATGCACCATTTCTTCTGGTACCTCCTCCACATAGGGTTCAAGATTTTGAAAAACAAAACACTCAAAGAAAGCGAAATAAGCATTCAACTCTCTTCAAACTTCACAACTAAAAATAGTAAAAATAGTTTCACAAGATCTGTTGTGAAGATGATGTATATCTGCCCACTCCTTCTGGTACCTCACCCACGAAGGGATGCAACTTCCGATATTTAAATCCGTCATAACTTGCGAAACAAATCGGAGACTCTTTACATCTTGCTATATGTAAATATTTCTGTTGTTGCAAAATGGTCAGGCCTTTATTGTTGTTTTTATAAAAACAACGTGATTATTAGTGAAGAACGATGGTAAAGTTTACCAGGGGGTAAGGCAGGGAATACCTAGGTTTCAGAAAGAGTCACCAATCCTCATCAGTTCCCTTGTTTTTTGTCTGGGATATTCTCCGCAGAAGTTATTTTAAAAATAACTTCAATGACAAAAAAAAACTTTTTTTTAGCCAAGTGACGAGATTGTAAGCTCAATAGAAGAGGAACCAAAGAATTACATAAAACTAAAATTCTTTTGGAAAACCTTCTAAATCTTACAACCGCACATATAAACATTTTCATCTTTCTTTACTTGTTATTCTTTCGTTTTACATGAACGAAGTAACATAACCATGTAAGTTGGTTTTGTCTGTTACAACAAAAACCTTCTCGTCGACCGTCCATTAATAGTGTTGGCTTGTTTGTTGAGGATACCATAGTGTTTTGTTGTTGTAAAATGGTCAGGCTTAATCCCTTTATTGTTGTTTTTATAAAAACAACGTGTTTTTTAGTGGAGAACGATTTCTCTTCACATAAGATTGTAAATAAATGCTCGAATGTTCTCCAACATTTTTATTTGTATTAGATGAAGTATGAAAATGGAATACTTTTTATTTCCACATTTTTCAAAAATTTGCGTATATCTCATATAAAGTATAGGAAGACGTTGATATAGTTCAAATCTGGCACGATGTAATATTGATATCAGTCTTAGGTCAGATACGAATTGGTCAATATTGGCCAGCGGCTTCGGAACCTCCCCCACAAAGGGTCAACAGTTTGAATAATAACTCAAGGCTGAGGGTATACATCTGTCGCAAAATCGCCTGTTACTATTTTACTTGTTTTTAAAATTAATTGACTAACATTCAGTGAATTTACAGACATAGTTATATGAAGCACCATTCAAAACTTAAGAATTCTAAAATAACCAAGTTCACAATAATTTAAGTTATCACCTGGCTGAGGGTATAAGAAGTTCGGAGTTTATTTAACGGACTTTTCGACATTTTCCAACCAACATTTAGTTTGCATTTCAAGCAAATAAACACGCCATTGCTCCGATCTATACTTAAAAAAATTGAAAATGTTATTTAATATAGAAAATAATGGAAACTTAAGGAAAACAGTTAAACAAACTAAAACCTCAAACAATAAATATTAACAGATAAATTTCGTTAAACGAAAAACAAAAATTCCCGAAAAAAACATCACAAATATTTATATGCTTTGTTATTTAAACGAACGCATATAAATAATTATTGCATCGATGAACAACATATCTTTGGAATATACACACAGACATATGCATATATAAGCCATTTAGTTAATGGGTAAGTATGTTTAAATCATTTTTATACGTATGCTGTTGGTGTTCTTGTTTATTTTTAATAAATTGCTTAACGTCTTTATCCAAAAATAATCAAAGAAATACATACATACGTACGTATTCATTTGTGTGTGTGTGTATTTGTATGCACCAAAGAAACAGCTTGATGAATATTAGATGCCAAAACGTGTACTCCTAATCAAATATTAATTGCATGGCCCACAAGAAGAAATAAATTTTCCAGCATCCGCTGTCATAAATATTTTTTACAAAATAAAAAAAGATGACCCGATTTTAATATATATTTTATTGTATTTTTTTTTTTCATTTAAGAACCAGTACTTAGTAGAGAGGATATACATATAACCTTGTCACCAGGGGAGAACAGTAAGTATTTACACAAACTTTTTTTGGCTTTTTACAATACAGCATTTAAGGTATGCTTCATTATGATGATATGAAAGTAAACACGAAAGAAACAAACCAAAATTAAATTTGGCACAAAGGTTTATATTATATGCAGGCTTATTGGTATTGAAGATGGTCCACGTTTAGGTATAGCCCCCATTTTTTCGGTGTTTTGAAGGTTTCAGGTCCACTAATTGGTATAGCTCCCATACAACGGTACCTCCTGATTTTCGGTATTCACAAGTTTTTGCCACAATTGCCAACTATGATGATAATATGGGTTTCGCTATTTGGGTTATTTTTGTATTTTAATTAAAATGGATTGATATCCTATATTAACATATTCTAGTCTTTCATTATTTCATTTAACTTTAATAAATACGGTGGTGAAGGGAATTAAAATTTTGGCCCGGCAGAACTTCAAGCCATTTTTACTTGTTAATATATATTTATTCCTGTCGTTTATGTATATCTTAGACTTTTAACGTCATCAAGAACCTGTAGTAGAATTTTATAACAAACAATTTTGTGGAATATTTTGACCTGTTATAATCCCATTTTTAACCATGTTTTCAAGAAAGGTCCAAATAGACCCCTTTGTTGACTGGCTTGAGGATTAGAATGATCGATCAAAATAATTCCCGTGTATATGAAATTTAACAGATACTAACGAATCTTAATCCGAACATTTCTAAAAGTGTAGAAGAGGGGGAACTTGCCCTTGCTTGAAACAAAAGATTGTTCGTTTACTCCATAATTTGAACAAAGTTTTGCTGGAAGCGAAATGAGAGAGACATTTTGACATTTGAGCTACTGAGACTTTGCAGATTCTTACTGGGGAAATTTCGCGAAAATTGGAATCCGTAGAAATATTGCAATGTACAAACCTTAAAGTATACTAAAAAAATAAAAAATAGAGTTTTTGATATTCAAAATGTGGACTTTTTGGCAGTGGTCCAATATTTTCCAAATTTGCTTTTGACCTAAAAATTTGAAGAAAATCAGTCATTTTTATTGCGTTCTAGGGGATTTGGTATTATTTAAAAATTTTAATGAGAGGTACGGGAATCAGTGGAACAATATTATACATGGTTTCACCTGACCTAAGCCTTATATAAATGTGAAGATGTGAAAAGTTTGATATACACCCTTGGCCTAATTGTAGATTTATCAGGCATGTCACAAGAATGAATTCGGTACGAAAGTGATTTTATTTTCGTATTTACAGGCATGTCACAAAATCGAATCGAAATGGTTTGAATTTCGCAATTAAAAATCGAACGATTTTGTTTACCTACTTCAGATTTGGTACGACATGGTGAATTACGAATTCAGTGCAAATATGGCAATATTATATATTTAATATGGTAACATAAGGGGAATGAAAGAACGAATGAAGAGGAATCAAAACAAAACACATGATTAGAAAACATTGTAGAAGTGTAACTTGTGAAAAATATTCTGTTAATGAGAGTTTTTTGTTCATTTAATTATTTTTTACGCAATGCCGAAAGTTTCGTTTGTTTCTGTAATTGGAGCCTGTCCTTAAAATATTAATTAATGATTAATTGATTAAACAGCATTCTACAATAAATATTTCACGCATTTTAAGATACTTTTTTGCAAAAAATTCTTTTTTGTGTGTTCTTTTTATTTTGTTTTCTCTCTTTGCTTCAGTTTATTATTCGTAATTCCACATTGTTTGGTTTTGACAGATGAATAATTTTTGTTTGAAGAAAAGAGAGATTTGGCAACACTTCAGTATTTTGAGAGTGTTTTAAGTTCACAAGTTTCCATAAAAATACAAGTTCACTTGAAAAACGAAAAGTGGTTTCAAATCTTTTTTCTTAGAAGATACCGTTACATGGGGCTATACGAAAACATGGACCGAATGTTTGAAAATTGACCTTTCCTGTTAACAGACGACTTTCAGAAAAATTTGCAACAATTGTCACAATTGTTTTGTAACTTGTTATTTGGGATCTGTTATTTTTTGGGACCTGTTATTTAGTTATTTACAGGGGTTGGAACACAGTTCATATGTATTTTAACATTAAGTTTGGCTAAGGACTCAACACTAGCGTAGCATCTGTGCTGTTCCATTGGAACAGCTCTATTGAGCTACAGTGTTTATAGAGTAGATAGAGGGATGCGAGTAAAAGGAACTATTCCCTAAAATACCGGATTTACATGTAGTTCCTGAGATAGACCTCGTTGCCTAGTTTATTTTGGGAAGGAACGAGAAAAATCAATCAGGTCAGTGAAATAGGATTTCCAAAACAAGAAAGAAAATGGCTATTTTACCTTGACTTCTACAACATATGTTCTTAGTCGATCTTCATTAATTCAATATTCAATAACTCTAAGCTTAATGGTCAGCTCAAAGTAATTGAGGTTAAATCAAGCAAATTGTAATTGTTCTGATTTTTTTAAACAATTTTTTCTTTTTTCTAATTTCAGGAATCATACACTCTTGGATTGTCTCATGACCCAATGCAAAAAGATCATAACAACCATGCTGATTTGCTCAGTTCTGGTGTCTGTATGATCTAATTATTTGGTTGTAGTCCTCGGCTATAAAGTGGAGCATTCACATGATTCATTACGTAAAATACGTATGTGGTGTAGATGCGGAATGGGAACTACTACTGTTCTGAACTTTAAATATCTGAAGTTCGTAGCTTCATGACTGACTCTACACAAACCTGACTTTGGACAATGACGCGGGAAGTTTTCAACAACATTGTTTGGTGGTTTACACCGGAACAATTTATTTGCCAAAGGTTTTCAAGGCATTGAAAAAATACTTTCCTAGGAAGTATGTATCCGCGGCCAAGGAATAAATATTAGCTTTGCAAACCCCTTTTTTAATGAAAAAATATTTGTGGAACAAAAAAGCAAGGTTCTTTTTCACACATTTCAAACAGAGATGATGTGCTTGAAGGCTTATTTCTGGAAAACTTCTAGAATTTTTGTATTTTCTAATGTAAAACTTTATATAATTGTATTTGTAAATCATAATTATAAGATTAAATATATATTATTAAATAAATGAGGAAGAGGTTAGTAAATTTGTAAAATAATTGTGAATTAATGAAAACTTTTAAAGCTGCTGGCAGCTTTCAATCTTTTGTGATTTAGGTTATGTTTATTACTCTTATAATTATTATTATTATTGCTCTACAAAATAAGTAACGAAATTAAAACCACAATTTTTAGGCAAAAGACTTTGTATTTTTGAAATAAACTTAACTGTATTTGAAATAAACTTACCTGCTTATTAATAAATTGCGTATGTATACATTTCAAATTCAATTGTAAAGTAACAGAACAATAAATGAAGCCACTTTTTGATACATTTTCGGAACAAAAAATAAAACATTTATATATTTCCATCTACCCCAGAGAAGATTTTATTGAATTGCAGATACATTGTAAATAAGTTTAGCTAGCAACGAAGATAACGAAATTCGAAATAGCCAAATCCAATAAATAAACGTTACCAGAAAGTTCAATACAAATATTATTATTTATTTATTTTTTGCAAAAATATTCAATAAAATCAATATTCAGTTTTAATATCAACAGCATTTGAACGTTTGTTTTTTTATATTATTTTAAAAGGTGAGTCAGAAACATGGAGGTTGAAAGCGTAGTGAAACTGTTTAAAGTCGATCATTGCTAGGAATACAACACGGTAACGTATTGCAAATGCTTACTAATTACCAGACATTAGAATTTTGCGTACTTTTTATTAATTGGAATTTTAAAAAAAATCTGATTGGACCAAAGTTTTGTTTTATTGAATGTATAACCAAACTAGACATAAATATTTTCCAATTTTGTACATACAGGGTGAGATGAAAAAACTGCAACCAACTTCGGACTGCTATCATTTTTAAGCCACTCGTCCGACAGCTTTTAAAATTATTCCATTGACAGCTTATTATATTGTTCACAAGTGTACAACAGCATTTTGGCGGCCAAAATATAAGGAGTTATCGTAGAAGAATGAAAATTGGTACACATAACTAATACAAGTAGGAAAGGAAAAAAACGAAGTTTTGAAAAAATCGGCCGAAGGACTCGCTCACCTCCCATATATCCCAAAATTTTTTGTTGGAATTGAACCTAATTTGAGTCGATTTGTCTCTGATATATTATAGATAACTGTGGTGAGTTGTATGAAATTATCTCAAAGGACACATCCACCTCCCATATATTCTGAAATGAAAAAATTATATTTTCACAAATTGTTGTTAGAATGGATCCAAATTAAGCTTGATTTTTCTCTGATGTATTTTAATTAGTATATAATTTAATTTAATTATGTTATAAAACATATTTCCTTGATGTCAAATAAGAAAATCATTTCTACATATATTATAAATATATATTTTTCAAATTCCCTGTTATCTGCTATTATTAAATAAGTTGATATTGCCTGAAAGACAAATCCATATCTAAAAAAGTGCCAAAGCGTTATCTACGCTGGGTCGGAAATTCTTTTTACAGCCTTTTGCAGTACGTTTGGATTTGTATTTTCGCCTTTTGGTGCGATCGATCAGAGCAATTATCAAAGTATGTCGAAGGTTTTCCTCTACGGCTGGTGCAAGGTTCCTAAAACGACACAATCATTTAGAATCAGAAATTATGTTCCACATAATGTACTAACAAAAGATAAACACTCATCACTTATAACAAAAGGTGAATTTAGCCGCGATCCGAACTTTTCTTCAAACCTCTCTCTAATGTAGTGACAATTTTGCCAATTGACATTTATTTTTAGTAATCTTTATTGATTTTTTATCTTCTGTTAAGTTTTAGCCCTAACTTGTCTTCTAAATAAGAAATTATTTCTCGATGGGCAGCACTTAAGGCACAAGTACATAACAAGCTTGAGGACATGGCTAGGCATATTTTGTGACATTTCATAAAGGGATTACAGAGTCGCACTATAATCCTGCCGTCGTTTCCCATTATAATTTGACAATAATATGCCTAGCCATGACTTCAATCTTTGTATGTACTTGCACCCTTAGAGTACGATGCCTAAGCCAAATATTAAAAATTCTCGGATTTGCACCTGTTCTGACACTGAAAAATAAAGAAATAAATAAAAGGGGGAAAAAGGGGACGAGATACTTACTTTTTTAAATTCGACACACTTGCAAAAATAATATATAAAAACTTAAAAAAAAATGTTTTTTGTTGTTATCTTTTTACACTCCACTGAACTTGAAAGTTTTTAATAACTTCCTTTTATGATTTTTGTTTACATTTAGTATAACGGTAAATCACATATGACCGACGAAACGAGTGAAAAAACGAGTTGCCATATCATTATATTTTAATAAGTTTATCTAAACCTAAATCGTGCTGTTTTACCGACAGTTTTTTTTTTAATACAACCATTATCTTTAAATACTCAAAACTTTTTGAATATATAATTTTTTTTTTAATTCTTTTTGATTAAACATAAATTAAGTATTGTTTTTACAATGCCATCAGCCTTTTCTAAAAACTAGTATACTGATATTTTTCATTATAAGAAATCACACTATCACGCTGGAATTCCATCACGAATAACTTTTTTTCTGGGAAATGCTCACCAAAATGCTTTTGTACGCTTGTAAACACTATAATGAGCTGTCACTGGAATAATTTAAACAGCTGTCGGATGAGTGGCTTAGAAGTGACAGCAGTCTGAAATTGATTGCAGTTTTTTTTTATCTCACACTGTCACTTTGAACTTCCAACAAAATGATTAAAATTCGAATATGAGGTAGGAAAAAAGGATATGCTACGTTCTCTTTAAGTTTACAGAGAAGAAGATTTGGTAACATAATTTTCCAAATTATATCGCCTAGTGCAGAACTGTATTCGTACACCGTATTTATACACTGTATTGCGGGGGAGGTACTTGATAGAGTGGGCCGATGCTTTACATTTTCGCACCTAACCTAGCACTGATGCAAATATTGGGATTCGCAAAGTTGGAGCAAAATCGGATAAACCTTTCTCTCTCCCTGTGCAGTAAAATATTTGAGGTCTAAAATCGTTACTTCCACTAGGCACGTATCAAATGATATATACCCTCTCTAGCTATATGGTTGAGGGTATAAAAAACATATTTGTAATAGTGTTTAATTTTTTTGCATTCACTTTCATTAGCAACAGAAACACGCATTCCAAACGGTTTCTATTTTTTTAAGATAAATTTTTACTATATATAGTATCGGCATTTAAATATTCCAAACATATGTTGAGTACACATCCGGAATGACTTCCCTTCTCAAATGTTACTGTTTCAGACTCTAATTCACGGTATAAGAATCGAAGGCAATGGAAGTGTTGTTGATTTGACTCAACAGCCATTTGTTGCTACAAAGTAATCCAAATTTCACCTGAAAAATAAATAAATATAAACAAGCCATCAAATCACACTTCCGCCAAATATTTTTTACTTAACAACCTTGGATCTAATAACTACGACAACAAATGAAAAATCCTTTGCTTCAAAAGTAAGTTCATATAAATGATATGGCAAGCAACATTTCAAGAACGACCTTGTGCTCAATACTCTTTACCAACGTTAATTATGATGTAAAATGTCGGAGTTCTTGCTTCCACACTGTCGCCGAAAATCAATTATGAAATATTTATGCATAGTCAGATATTCGGAATCCCTGTATTACACAAAAAGTATGAATTACAAGAATAAAGTTAGTTTCTGCTGCTGTCATTTCTAAGCCAGTCGTCCGACAGCTGTTAAAATTATTCCAGTGATAGCTCATTATATTGTTTACAAGCGTACAAAAGCATTTTGGTGAGAATTTTTCAGAAAATTCGTTATTCGTGATGAAATTATAGCGTGTGATTTCTTTATATTTGTCTGGAAAACCACAAGTGGCTATCGTTAGAGCACTCCAGCATTACAAAATGAGGTTCCTCGCGGTTCGGAAGTTATAAACAAATGACCCTCCAGAATATTTTCGCGATAATTTTCGGGTTCTTTTCTGATGCTACGGTCGATTAATACTAGCGGAGTGCGACCATTGGCTGTTATGGCGGCCCACATCATCACCATGGCCGGCGCTTGAGTTCTGGTGGCCAACCGAATGTGCATATTTTCAGCTGACCTCTTTGGCAAGTAAACACGATTATTTTGTTTGTTTACAAACTGCTGGACAACGAATGTTTTCTCATCGGAGAAAACCAAATTGGGCAGTTCACTACTTTCGTTAGCTCTTTTGAGTTTATTTTCTTTCTGTTGCGGTGTAAGCTCTTGTACTTTTGGAATTTCAATGGCTTTACCCCGAGCTCCTTTTTCAATATTTGCCGAATGGAATATTGCCCATTTTTCGGCCACTGCGACGCGGGTTTCGATCAAGTTGCTTCTTTACTTTTCGAACCATTTCTGCTGATGTTGCTGTTTTTTTCCGTCCACTTCCTTGACGTCGGGCTACGCTACCAGTATTACGGTAACGAACGATGGTACGAAACACAAAAGAATTATTCACATTTAAATACTGGAGTGTCCTAACGAAAGCCACTTTTGGTTTTCCAGTCAAATATAAAGAAATCACACTATCACGCTTGAATTCCATCACGAATAACATTTCCTGGAAAATGCTCACCATAATGCTTTTGTACGCTTGTAAACAATATAATAAACTGTCACTGCAGTTTTTTTTTATCTCACCCTGTATTCATTATACATTATAGGTTGACTGCTGAATTGACTGAAAATGCTTTTTTGACTGACTTAAGTCATCGGCTGGCTTCTTCATGGGGTGCACAAGTATAAATAATGGGTGGAAATTGAACTAAGTCAACCAAAACTCCTTTGTTCTTTTACGAAGAAGCCAGCCGATGACTTATGTATTTGCACCTTTTAAGTGAAAATACATAACACGCTTTTTATGCAAATATGTAAGAGTTTATGTTAATGGAAAAGTATACGAACGAACCCATTATAATACCCTGCAAAGTTCCAAAAAATAAAAACCCTAAAAAATTCTGGAATTCTCTTTAGAAATGCTTGTTTCTCTTTAGGGATAACTCTCCATAAAAAGTAAAACAAAATGATTTTTATTAAATTTTTATCTGTTACAAATTTGCGGAAACAACAAACAAATTACAAAATCAACTAAATTATTCTACAAAAATTCATTTTGTATAATTCAGTTTATGGTTGATTTACTTTTTCTTTGCCATTAGAAGACGTTTACCCTGCACCTCATTGGGCAGGCCATTGTATACACGCTTGAAGTCTTGCAAACTGCAACAGAATGTGTAACCCTTGGCTAAATTTGTAAAATCCCGTTGATACAAATTGGCCTTACTGCAGATATTGGGACAAACCTCTTCGGCCTTGCCGTTCGCAATAAAAGGATTGTTGACATTGACAAAAACAATTGACTCATCGGCTGATTTTCGGGTCAAAACTTTAAAATAATATTTTGGAATGTAAAACTGTTGTCGATTATCCAAATAGAGAGTGACTGGCATCCCGCTGGCATTCGGTAATTGGACAGTGCCAAAATAGCCATTGTACGATTCGATGTCCTCACCATAATCGCCAGCCAATGAGCGGGCCATATCTTCAACTTTTAGCCAATTTCCTCCATTGATGGGTTGGAACTGGGGTGCAACGTTCATATAGTAATAGGTCGAAAGTTGTTCATAACCAAACATGAAGTCGGCATCGGGTGTTAGATGGCCACGGGATAAGAAATTTTTCTTCTCGTCATAATAGGTTTGACCCTGGCCGAAAAGAGCTTCGAAGCGTGCCAATTGATTCTTCTTTGTGTAGAATTCATTAACTTTTCGGGTATTCGATGACATGTGTTTGGCCAGGAACGGGCGACGGGTGCTTTCGGCAATGTTATCTATGGGGCAAAATTATGGGGGAAGAAGAAATGGGAAATGAATTATTGTCAAGAATGTCCAGTGAAGCTTTAAGGACTCTTAAGGTGGGAATACATAAAGCGCATATTTGGCTGGCTTAAGTCTGCGGCTGGCTTCTTCGTAGAGGACTTTTAGGTTAACGTAGTTCGATTTTGTCCCTAGGCTCCTTTGTTAATTTCAGAAGAAGCCAGCAAAATAAGCGCTTTATGTATTCCCACCTTTATGAACTCTTGGACTGAGAGTACATAAACGATATTTCGATTGACTTAAATCATCGGCTGGCTTCTTCGCACATGAACAAAGGAGTTTTAGGTTGACTTAGTTCGATTTTGGCCCTCGCTCCTTTGTTCTTTTCCGAAGAAGCCAGCCGATGACTTAAGTCATTCAAAAAAGCGTTTTATGTACTCTCACCTTTAGATTAACAGGAGAAACTTGTTTATTTCAGAAGAAACTCCACAAACTTCTAAAAGAGCTCAACGATTGTTTAAAGAACTCCATGATTTATCAAAGGAGCTTCCTGATTTCTCAATGGAACTCAACAATGTCCTTGAGGAGCACTATGATTTTTAAGGTGAAATCACGGCTTCATCAAAGATCATGAAATCTGAACAGTTATTCGATTTTCATAACGATTTGAATGAACTCCTCAAGAACCTTCCAAATTCCTTAAGGGATTCCTCGATTTCTATAAGGAACTTCGCGATTTCCTGATGAAATTCTGTGTTTTACTCAAATAACTCCAAGATATTCTCAAGGGGTTCCATAATTTCTTAACAAAACTTCCTAATTTCGGGAGGAACTAAAAAGGTTCTTTAAAAACTTCATGATATTTAAAGAAACATCACGATTTACCTCAATGAGTATTTCGACCTACCCACGGAACTTCATAAGTTTTTCGGTTTACTTGAGGAAATTCTTGAAGGAAATTCACTAATTTCAGGACTACTTAAAAGGATTTTCCATATTTGTTCGAGAAACTCCATTAACTTTACTAGAACCTTTCCTGCAAAATGTCCTTATTTTTCCCAATCATCACCAATTTTTTTTCAGATTACCCCCTTTACTTACATTTGATTACAGCACCATGCAATGTATTATGCGTATACAGCGTAGTTTCCGTATTCTTATCATAACATATTTCAAATATACGATAAAATTTATCACCCGGAATTTCAATACCGGCCTCATGAATAAAACCTCTATTGTTCGAACATCTGGCTGTGGTCTTTTGCAGCGCAGATTCGGGTATAGTACTGCAGACCAAACTATTCAACTGCAACGGGTTGTTATTTGAGTCAACAAATTGTCCGTTTTGACTACAACTAAGATCCAGAGTGTTGGTCCCAAGCGATGTTATTGTGTTTTTAGAGCCAGTGCAGACCAAACGCAGTTTAGAATTTTCCGGTAATGTGCTGACCCTTCCGGTGGGTCGAAATAAGGCATATGAAGATTGAGCAGAAGACTTCGTAAGTATAACCGGGGAGAATCCTTTGACATCTCGAGGTAGTGTAATGGTACAGGGTGTGGCAGATATAACTGAAAGAAAATCAATGAGATTATGAATATAATGTTGCAGAGGAAAAACTTCCATAAAGACATTCTATAGGTCTCCCAAAATTTCAGGTCGTTTGTGAATTCCCTACCTTAAATGCGTGGCTGCATTCTCAAACTTCTGAGTGTGTCAAATCTATCTAAGAAAAGTCGTAAAGATTTAAACGGATCGGTGAAATGCAGTAATCAATACAATTACAACATTGGAAGAAAACCACACAAATAAAATTACAGTGGAACAAACTCAAAAATCGGCGTATTGGCATTTTGAAAGTGATTTTGAACATAAAGGGGGGGGGGCATGTTTGCATGCCCAAGGCTTTAATACACCCTTCAGAATATTTTCGTGATGATGTTCGGCATTAATTCTGATGTCACGGTTTATTAATACGAGCGGAGAGCGACCATCGGATGTTATGGCGGCCCACACCATCACCATGGTCGGCGCTTGAGTTCCGGTGGCCAACCGAAGGTGCACATTTTCAGCTGACCTCTTTGGCAAGTAATTGCATTTGCTTGTAACAGGCAAAAGGAAACGGGATAGACCCATAGTTCCTTTTGATGATCTGCATAGAATCACATTCTGAGTCGATTTATGCATGTCCGTCCGTCCGTATGTCCGTCTATCCATGTATTTTTGTAAACAAAGTACAGTTTGCATTTATTGCCCTATCCAGATGTTTTGCACAAATCATTTGTTTGGGCCAAGGACGAACCCAATTGAAATTGGAGAGAATCGGTAAAAATTTAGATATAGCTCCCATATATATTTTCGTCCGATTTGCTTTTTATTGTGCACCAAACGTGTAATATCAGCCCGAATAGTATGAAATTTTGCACATACAACCAAATTAGGCCTGAAAATAGGTATGCCAAATTTTATCGAGATCGGTTCAGATTTGGATATAGCTCCCATATAAAACTTCGACCGATTTACGTTTTATTGTGCACCACACGTCTAATATTTGTCCAAATGGGATGGGATTTGGCACTTACGACCGAAGTTGGTGAAGATCGGTTCAGATATAGCTATAGCTCCCATATATACTGTTCATCCGGTTTGTTATATTTGTTACCAACAGCCCTCCAATATGCCCTCTGTAACAACGAAATTCAGGGAAATATATCAAATACAGCTCAGAAATATCTTTGCCAAATTTTATTGAAATCGGTTCCGATTTGGATATGGCTCCCATATATATCTTTATCCGACTTCAAATTAATTGTGTACCAAATGGGCAATACAAGTCCGAATTTAAAAGATACAAATGCTTCGGCATATTTAGTCCTTTGAATTTTAAATTATAATTATAATCATAGCGTGTATGATTGAATTCTCCCATAAAAACTTTTAATTATTAAGTGAAGCTCAACTAAATTAGCAATGTGGTGTAGGGTATCATAAAGTCGGTCCCGCCCGACTTTAAAACTTTCTTTACTGGTTTTATTTGTTTACAAACTGCTGGACAACAAATGCTTCCTCATCGGAGAAAACAAAATTCGGCAGTTAACCACTTTCGGCCAAGCGAAGCAACTCTTTAGCTCTTTTGGGGTATTTTCTTCCTGTTGCGGAGTAAGTTCTTGCACTTTTTTGAATTTCAATGGCTTTACCCCGTGCTCATTTTTAAAATATTTGCCGAATGGAATATTACGATATGTTCAGCTCACGAACCATTTTTCGGTCACTGCGACATTTTAGTGTTAAAGTCGTACTTTGTTTGAGATTGTGCGAAAAACTCCAACAGTATTAAGTTCGTTATTCCGTTTGTAACTCATCGAAATAATAATTTTATACCCAACAAAGTATATTTTGTCTTGTTCAGTGTAACATTCTAAGACGATTTAGCCCTGGCCGTCCGTCCGAATAAAGATAGGAATAGGATAGGATAGGATAGCCCCCATATATTCCGTATTTTGATGATTTCAATCACATTTTCAATGGAATTGTCTGAAATTCTACACAAGGAGTTCTCCGTGACTACTGTACCCCAGGAAAAAGAATTGTCTATATAGTTCCATGATATCGTATAGCCCCCTTACAATGGTGACCTGATATTGGTGATATTGGGTATTTTGATAATTTTAGCCACATTTTTTAATTAAATAGTCTGAAAATCCACACAAGGAGTTCTTTCTGAGTACCTAACCCCCTAGAAGAGAATTATCTACATAGCTCCACGATATCGCATAGCGCCCATATAACGGTACCCCCAGATATTCGGTATTTTCATGATTTTTGCGACAATGTTCACCGGAATAATTTCAAATTTGTTATTCGAAGTTCGGAACAGTTACTACAGCCTATGACAAAAATTACTTATGCGGGACCACGTTTTCAAGTTTCTTCCAAATGGTAGAGGTTATAAAAAGTTCGGCTGCTTTTTTACTTGTTCGTATTTTGTTGAACACACTAACGGAATCCGGTGATTTTAAGTAAAAAGTGTCTTCAGCAACATTGGAGATAAAAACACGAGAAATATTTTTGATTAAAATGTTAACCATAAAGCGAATCAACAAATTCCCTTTAAATGAAAATATTCTACAAAATTATTTGTGACAAAATTCTACTATAGGTCCTGGAAGACGTCAAAAGTCGAATTCTTATCTAATCGGGTTTGTGCAAAAATCCCCAACTCAGCATCATTTTAGAAGGATGACGTCAAAGATAAAAATATTCTTCATCAAATTTCAGTCTCAGATACCAAAGAAAATAAATCCCTATTTTCTTTAAATATCAAAAAAAATATTTCTTTCAATATTCCTCGACCTTTTTTCGAGTTGACGCCTGGTAGAAGCTGCTTTAGGTAGAAGCTGTCGTTGTAAATCTCAGAATATTCAATATACAGGGTGAGATGAAAAAACTGCAACCAACTTCAGACTGCTGTCATTTTTAAGCTACTCGTCCGACAGGTGTTAAAATTATTCCAGTGACAGCTCTTGTTTACAAGGGTACAAAAGCATTTTGGTGAGAATTTTACAGAAAAAAAGTTATTCGTGATGGAATTCAAGCGTGATAGTGTGATTTCTTTATGTTTGGCTGGAAAAGCACAAGTGGCTATCGTTAGAGCACTCCAGCATTTAAATGTGGAGTATTTTGGAAAGCAAGGTTGGCACAAAAAACAATACCAAAGTGTCGTTCACCACAAGCAAGAGTTTCGCCGGGAATGGGCCAAAATACCGCAGAGCAACATTCGGGCAGCGTGTGACGGTTTCATTGGTCATTTGAAGGCCATAATTCGTGCTAAAGGTGACCAATTCGAACAAATCTAAACTTATTCTACAATTTCATGCTATTTCCGACATTTTTTGCTTTCATTCAATAAAATTAAAAAATATATATGTATAAAAATTATGGTGTTCCACTTTGATGCAGTTTTTTTATCTCACCCTGTATCTAGGTGCAATAGTTTTTAAGAAAATTAAATTCGCAATTTATGTACTACAAGCGAAAATTATGTGCTTGTTTTTTAACTCTTAATTTAAGTCGTTTCCAATCTAAGTCAAAATCTCCCCTTTGTACTTTATTTTTTGGGGAAAGTGTCAAAGGAAGAATAATTCTACAACAAATTTCATTGCAAGTCTCTGAAGAAAAGAAATATCTATATTCAAATATCATTAATTTTTTCCACATTTTTAAAAATTTACTCATTTTTGAAAAATTTACCACCTTTTCTCAATTTGCCGCAAATTTTCTTATCATTTGCTATCCGATAGCCAGTCTAGTTTGTGGAAAATTCCAAGTAGACTCGGAAATACAGTGGAAGTACGTGAGCAGGTGTTGAACTAGCTATTACAATCAAAACTTTTTGAAAAGAGCTAATTACTTCAGCCAGCCCACGTTGGTTTGGCATACGAATTTCATTATACCCTACACCACAAGGTGGTCAGGGTATTATGTATTTGTGCATTTGTTTGTAACAGGTAAAAGGAAACTAGATAGACCCATAGTTCCCTTTGATCTGCATGAAATCACATTCTGAGTCGATTTATTCATGTCCGTCCGTCCGTCTGTCCATGTATTTTTGTAAACAAAGTACAGTTCGCATTTATTGGCCTATCCAGATGAAATTTTTCACAAATCATTTGTTTGGCCCAAGGACGAACCCTATTGAAATTGGAGATAATCGGTAAAAATTTAGATATAGCTCCCATATATATCTTCGTCCGATTTGCCTTTTATTGTGCACCAAACGTGTAATATCAGTCCGAATAGTATGGAATTTTGCACGTACGATCAGATTGGACCTGAAAATATGTATACAAAATTTGATCGAAATCCGTTCAGATATAGCTATAGCTCCCATATATATTGTTCACCCGATTTGTTATTTTTGTCCTTCGCAGCCGTAATATGCACTCTGTAATAACAATATTTGGGAAAATCTATCAAATACAGCACAGAAATACATTTGCTAAATTTCATTGAAATCGGTTCAGATTTGGATATAGCTCCCATATATAACTTCGTCCGATTTACCTTTGATTGTGCACCAAACGTCTAATATTTATCCAAATGGGATGGAATTCGGCATATACGACCGAATTGAGTCTAGAAGCTAGTATGACAAATTTGGTGAAGATCGGTTCAGATATAGCTATAGCTCCCATATATACTGTTCATCCGATTTGTTGTATTTGTTACCTACAGCCGTAATATGCACTCCGTAACAACGATATTCAGGGAAATATATCAAATATAGCTCAGAAATATCTTTGCCAAATTTTATCGAGATCGGTTCCGATTTGGATATAGCTATCATATATATCTTTATCCGATTTCAAATTAATTGTGCACCAAATGGGCAATACAATTCCGAATTTAAAGATACAAATGTTTCGGCATATTTAGTCGTTTAAACTTTAAATTATAATTATAATCATAGCGTGTATGATTGAATTCTCCCATAAAAACTTTTAATTGTTATGCGCAGCTCTACTAAATTAGCAAAGTGGTGTAGGGTATCATAAAGTCGGCCCCGCCCGACTTTAAGACTTTCTTTACGGGTTTTGTTATTAATACTGGCAATCTCTACATATTTCTCTTATTGTTTTACTCTAAACTTGAATTCTCTGATGTCTCTAAGAGCTCGTTATGTATGCATGTCTCTTCGAAAAACTGCAGCTTAAAACTAAGGCCTTAAAATATTAACAAAATGAGTTGGTAGTTCATTAATTGTTGTAATACCGAATAAAAATAAATAAAGAAATAAAATAAAAAATCCCTCCACAAATAACCCCCCAACAACGACCTGTTAAATTGGTATTCCATTTTCTCATATAAATGAGACAAAAATAACACTTTTTATCTTAAATCCCAAAAAAATAAAACCAAACGAAACAGGTGATGTGAAAAAATGGTAAAACAAAACTTTCCAAACCCCCTTAGCCCCCACCAGTTTCACTTACCCGCAATACAGACGGGCCAGATTGCCAGCACGACGTTAAAATACTTCAGCAACATCTTCGTATCTGAGGGAGCGACTCGATGACTGGCCCTAACTATCGGTCTTCACTTTAAGTAAGAGAATATCTGACTGAGCGGTGACAGCCAACGGCTAAAAACAACGGTTGCTTTTGGCTGGGTTTTTTCTTTTGTACTTTCCATTCGAAACGCTGAGTCTGTTGCGTTGCTGGTTTCCGCTCTTAAAGAAAGATATTACGTATGTATGAACAATGAAAGACTGACAGACTGCATATTTGCTTTAGAAGAAGAAGAAAAAAATACCAAAACGTTTATTTCAATAATATTTATTTTATGCGATTAAAACGCGATGTTTATTAATCTATATTTATTTAAAATTGTGTGACAAAGATGATTAGAAGTTTATTTTTTTATGAAAATTATTTGATGGTATTAAACCAATGACAGCTTGATATTGAAAGAATGGTTCCAATGATTTGAAATGGAATCCATTTTATAATGACTTGATCATACTTGATGTATTTTGAAGATAAAAAAAACTCCTGCAGTTAGAAAAATAGCAAAATCCACCTATTTTACCCGTCTTATATGTATATAAGACCTTCTAGTTAGTTCTTATATTCTTAGGTGTTCCTCTTTTATAAATGAAATGCATTTCAAAGTTCGTATCCCGAATTGCTTGAATCTGATGATTAATATACATATAGAGGGTGGGATTAAAAAACTGCAACCAACTTCAGACTGCTGTCATTTTGAAGCCACTCGTCCGACAGCTGTTAAAATTATTCCAGTGACAGCTCATTATATTGTTTTTGTGTCGATCACCTCAAGCAATCGCTTCGCCGGGAATGAGCCAAAATACCGCAGAGGAAAATTCGGTCAGCGTGTGACGGTTTCATTGGCCGTTTGAAGGCCATAATTTGTCCCAAAAGGCGACCAATTCGAACAGATCTAAGCTTATTCTAAAATTTGATGCTATTTCCGACATTTTATATATTTTTTCAATTTGGGATAATTCAATTTTAAAATCAAACAAGTGAAATGCGTTAATTTCAGCTAGTCATTAGTAATTGGGATTGAAAAGATTTATTAACAAGTTAAAAAGTATCTGTTGGTTTTGCCGACAGATGTATACCTACAGCCCATATAGTATTATTTAAAAATATTTTGACTTCTGTTATGATTATTCAAATATTTATGTTTGAGTGAGGAATGTGCCAATATTGGCCATTTCGTATCGCACCTAAATAAAAATGATATAAATATAGGGACGTGCCTTGGTTTGGACTATATTGGTAACTTCCTTCACTTTACATGACATATATGTATACTTTTAGAAAATGTTAACATATGCGTAGGTACCAGATATAGTCAACCGAAGTATTCCATTTTCATGCTTCGTTTCAAGCATATAAAAACATTGGTATGGACAATATTACAAAAAAATCGAACATTTATATCCAATTTATGGAAAAGAATAAATTTCATATTCATCTCAGGTTTCTGGCAAAGAGAGAGATATAGCAAATTGTAAAGAATCGATGACTTGTTTCGCAAGTTATGACAGATAAAAGTATTGAAAATTGTGACCCTTTGTGAGTGAGGTACCAGAAGGGTTTCGCAGATATATATCATCTGCACAACAGATATTGTATTAGCAAAAATGTTTGTATGTGTGAAATTTGAAGAGAGTTTAATGCTTATTTCGCGTTCTTTGATCATTTTGTTTCTCATAATCTTGAACCCTATGAACAGGTAGCAAAGGAAATGGTCCTATCTCTATTAACTTTATAACAGATCTTGTATTGATGGAAATCTTGAGATATATCAAGTTTTGAATGGAATCGGATGTTAATTTCGCTTTTTATGAGCTTCATGGATATTTAAAATGTTCAGCCTTTGTGGGGGAGGTACCAGAAGGAGTGGACCGATATATCCCATGTTCACAACAGATATTTTGTTAGTGAAAATAATGGGATGTGTGTAATATAAAGAGAATCGGATGCTTATTTCGGATTTTATAAACGTTTTGGTTATTCAAAATTAAATCACATTTTATAAGAGTTGTAATTATTCAAAATTTTGACCCTTTGTGGGGGAGGTATTTGATGGAGTAGACCGATATTGTCCATTTCGCACCTGACCTAGCACTGATGCAAATATAAGGATTTGCAAAGTTGGAGCAAAATCGGATTATCTTTTCTCATTCTGTCCACTAAATTTTTTTCTTTGAAAATTTTGACATTTTGTGTGGGAGGTACCAGAAGGAGTGGACCGATAGTACCCATCTCCGAACTCGATCTAAGTTTGACAATAATGTTACGATGTTCCAGCTTTGCATCAAATCGGACACTTCCTTCGAGAGTTATCGTGCGCACCAGGCAGCCAGACAGACAGACGGACTGACATCGCTAGATCTACTCCAAATGTCCTGAAACGGATTTGGTCCAAAGAGACCTAGGGTCTAAAACCGTTATTTCAACTAGGCACGTTTTGACCGTATCAAATGATATATACCATCTCTAGTCATATGGCTGAGGGTATAAAAATTAAGGTAAAGCTGAACAATTACAACTCTAAATATAAATATGTTATAGGTTTTAAACTGCGCAAAATACCCAATGTCGTTGGACTATAGCGGACTGTTAAAATTTCTCTATACTGCAAATAATCTACACACAAAGAACATAAAATTACAGCCGAGCTTGTTGAAATTTGAACCGAAACTTTCAAAATACCGATAATCCTCCTGATTGGTATTGAAATTTGGCTATATGGGTCCACGTTTAGGTATAGCTCCCATACAATGGTACCTCCGGTTTTTGAAGGTTTCTGTCATAATTTCCAACTAAATAAACTGAAACTTTATATTTAGGTTTCTAGGTAAGTCTGTTCTCTCCCTGCAAAAAAATAATCGCTGCAGGTCTACTAATTTCTATAGCCCCCATGTAGCGGTACCTCCTGAATTTCGGTATTTTTATGGTTTCTGACGGAATTTCCATCCAAGTTTCATATAAGAAACTTGACAATTGGGATTTAAGGTATGTCAGTTGTATCCTTGCAAAAAATCTCGATTCAGGTCCACTAATTGATATAGCGGTACCTCCTGATTTTCGGTATTTTGAAGGCTTCTGTCACAATTTGCAACCAAATTAGATGATAATATGGGTTTTGCTATTTGGGTTATTTTTTTATTTTAATTAAAACGTATTGATATTCAAAGTTAACATATCCTACTCTTTTCATTATTTCTTTTACTCTGATAAATATAGTGGTGGAGGGTATAAAAAATTCGGCCCGGCCGAACATAAAGCCCTTTTTACTTGCTTTGTTTATATTTGCCTTTTCATGTAGTATGTTATGTGTTGATTTAATTAATTGCTTCAATTATGCCGGTCTTTGGTTGTACGCGCTCCCTACATATGGGGAGGTTGCTCCCTTAGTTGGCAAGGCCGGCCTGAGAGGCGTGGAAACAAAATATAAAAATATAACTGTAACACCCGATTTTCGGTATTTTGATAATATAATAAGGGGCATTTCTCCAACTGTTTTGTTTTAACATCTTCCAAGTACCTTCCAAATGGTGGAGGACGTTAAAAGTTCGGTCCGGGCGGACATGGCTTCCTTTTTAATGGTTATTTAATTTAAAATCAGCGTCTATGCATGGACATCTACTAAAAATATACAACTTTCGGAAAACTAACCATGACTTAAAAAAGACCTTATCGAAACGTGATATTTACCATCGGTAGGTTTGAACACTTCAAATTCGGTAAGGTTACGTTCCAGCAACATTTTTTTGGTAGCCACATGTACAAAATAATCCAAGCTGCGAATAATTTGTTGGAAAAGAAGCATTACCTTATAATTTGTTTGGGGGGTAGTAAAAAATTCATTTTTTATCTTTTTGTTGGTTTTCTGTCTTGGAATACTCAAATCCCCTGAGAAAAAATTCCCATTGAAGTTTCAAATAATAGCTGTCAACACTAGATCAGACAGGAAATCATTCAAGCTTATCTCCACATTCAAACTTAGGGCTTTATTGTTTTCTTTTTGTTTAATATTGTACAGCATTAAAAAATATATTTCCATTTTAAATCTGATACTTCAATCTTTAGAATGTCCCTCTCTCTCTCTCTCTCTCTCTCTCTCTTACACTTTTCTAACCAACAAATTGTTAGCTTCCACATCTTCGGGTAGGCCATCATAGCTTAATTTGAAATCTTCCAGACGACAGCAGAATGTGTAGCCCTTTGACAGGGTGGGGAAATTGGCATGTTTCAAATCGGCCTCGTCACAAACACTCTCGCATATCTCCCTGGACTCACCATCCACAGCATGAGGATTATTGACGCTGACAAAAACGATAGCCGCATCGCTAGCCCGGTTCAACAATACTTTGAAATAATATTCCGGAACTCCAAACTGTTTGGCATCATCCAAATAAATATCCACCATTTTCCCATTAACAGTTGGCAGTTGCAATTGGCCAAAAGCGCCGTTATATGTTTCCAAATCATTGCCATGAGATGCTGCAACGGATCGAGCCAGCTCTTCGACACGCAACCAATTACCGGCATTGACGGGCTGGAATTCGGGCTCCACATTAGCATAGTAGTAGGTCGACAATTGTTCATAGCCAAACACGAAGTCGGCATCGGGGGTTAAATGTCCGCGGGCCAAGTAATTAATGGAATCAATGTAGCTCTGATCGGGTCCAAAATAGTTCTCAAAACGTTCAATTTGATTCTTTTGGGTGTAGTAGTTGTTGGTTTTGGTTGTGGTGAGTTTCAAGCCTTCGGCTGAGAACGAACGACGGGTGCTCTCTTTGATGTTGTCTGTTGAGAGAGAGAAAGTAAAGAAATATTTATTGAAATTAAGAGAGGAGGGCGGGCCTCTTAAACATAGATGGGCAAAATAATGAAAGAGAAAATCTTTGACCTTTAACTTATTGTATACATTTCAAGCCAAAATATAATCATAGGTAGCTCAAAAACTAATATTCAGAAACAATTATTGAATATTAACTGTATGTGTCTATATATTGATGTTTTAGCTGTAACGGAGAATATAAGACATAAACGCTAGTGCATATTTGTCCATCTATGGTAAATGGCATTCTATCTCTCAAATAACTTTCTAAGCTCCTTAACTATATGGGGCCTAAAAAAGGTTCTTCTTAGTAAATAAGAGCAAGTAGCGACCTTCAATTTATAAATTGTTCACAAAATGGTCTTCTTTCAACAGAAGGTCCTCCATCGAGAAAAGTCCTGCTACAGAGTCCCCATGAATAGAAGATCTTTTAAAATTCTATTGTGAAGCTTTTATGTCCCTTCGTCTACTTACAATCAATGGCCGCTCCATTAATCACATTGTGTGTGTAGTATGTTGTCTCGGTTACATTGTCATAGCACATCTCAAAAACGGGTCCATAGAACGTCTGATCCACCATATAGCCAGCTTCAAATATGGTTCCACGATTTTGAGAACATCCATCGCTGGTGAGTCTCAATGTTGAACTTGGTATGGATTTGCAGACAATGTCGTACAAATTGTAGGCATTGTTGTTGGCATCAACAAATTGATCGGCCGAACATTGCAGCACCAAGGAGGCCACATTCAGCGAGGTGATCACATTTTTATTGCCCGTACAGACGAGGTAGAGGCTAGCACCTTCTGGAATATCGGTAGTTTTTCCCGTGGGCTTAAACAGCTGATAATCACCGGAGGTTGGATTATTTTTTACCAAAATAATTGGAGCAAAGCCTTGAATATCATCGGGCAGAGTTATACTGCAGGCATTGACGGTTATGACTGAAAAAAAGAGACACAAAAATTGAATTGGATTCTTTTAGTATTGAAATATACAATAATGGAATGCATATCGACAACAGACAAGAAATGGTATTTCTCAAGCAAAAGGATCTAAAAACATATAAAGGTTGATCATTTCGTCCCTTGCTACGTTGGTGGCTGAAAAGACCGAAACAAACCACATGGGCTACGTGCAGTATTGAAATTGTGCAGTATATATACCACCTTGAGGACCGCCATAAACCACTACGAGATTTATGATTATTTAAAAATTTGACCCTCTGTGTGTGAGGTACCAGAAGCAACCATATTCTTCATCTTAATCTCAGCCTTTTCTACCCGCTAAAATTCCATTTTTTATTTCATTTTACTTTTCAATATATCAAATTGATTTAAAAATGTAGCAACGATCCCCAATACAAGTAAAATTGACCGATATTGCCATATAAGGCTGTTTTGGAATTTTTAAAATTTGGCCATTTTCCTGAATATATTTTCACAGGTTTGAAACATCGCTCATTAAACGGGAAGACCAAAATTTTCGAAATTTTATTAAGACAGACAGTTGACCCATTATTATACTTATCCATTGGTAGAGAGACCCGATCAAGCTTACAACTACGCCTTTACTTTTCTGTACAAAATATTTACCTCGAAATATGAAGTTAATCTGGCAACAAGCAAAATTATTCTCCGATGTTTTGAAATGATGGATAAATTTTATAAGAAGTTCGATTCCACTTCACACGCTCTTGAATTGAATGGAAAATGAATAAACAAATTTACGCTTAAACAAGTAAAAAAGCAGTAAGTTCGGCCAGGCCGAAATTTGAATACCCTCCACCATTTGGAAAAAAATAAAATCCGTTAAAATTCTGTTAAAATCTTAAAAACACCTAATATAGCCGTTATAGTGGGGTCTATACGAAGACGTACGTGGACCTGTATAAGCAACTTTTGTCATAAGCCGTTACAATATTCAAATACGAAACTTAAAAAAAAAAATTCGGTGAATAATGTAGCAACAATCATCAAAATAACTAATATGGCAAGGTACCGTTATATCGAGGCTATACGAAGACCTGGACCTGCATAGAAAATTTTCTGTCATAACTGAACTTCAAATACGAAATTTCAAACAATTTCGGTGATTATTGTACCCAAAATTTTCAAAATACCGAACATAGGGAGATACTTACATATGGGACCTATACGAAGACCTGGACCTGCAAAGACAATTTTTTGTCATAGGCTGTAGTACCCATTACGGATTCTAAATACGAAATTTGAAACGACTCCGGTGAATAATGTCCCATATCGAATATCGGGAGGTACCGCTGTATTCGGGCTGTACGATACCGTGGACCTATATAGACTTTTGTCTTCCAGGGAGTAAAGTGCTTAGAAAGAACTTCTAGTACGGATTTTTAGACAATTCCATTGAAAAATGTAGCTAAAATCAACAAAATACCGAACGTAGGGTGGGAGGATTTCATGGGCCTATATAGACAATACTCTTCCAGGGGGTAAAGTACTCTGAAGGAACTCCTATTGTGGATTTTCAGTCAATTTCATCGAAAAATTTGGCTACAATCATCAAAAACCGAATATCAGGGGTACAGTTTTATGGAACTCATATGATATCGTGGACCGATATAGCCCATCTTCGAACTTGACCTGCCTGCAGACAATAGACTAATCTCTGCAAATTTTTAGCTTGTTATCTGTATTCGTTTTGACTATAGCGTGATTATAACAGACGGGCGGGCAGACAGGGCTAAATCGTCTTAGAATTTTTGAATCGTCTAAAATTATTATTTCGATGAGTTACAAACGGAGTGACGAACTTAACACTTTTACAGAAATATTTTTTGGATATTGAGTGGATATTCAAAAATCCTATCCCCTGTTCCTGTAATCTCTGTATTGCTCACTGTCTTGAGCTAGAACGCTTTTTTTGATTTACAGTGTAGCCAACATATATCTGAAATTGGTTGTACTGTGGTACATCGGTTCGAAATCTACTCTCTTGTAAATTTGTACGCTTGTGGTTTATAAATAAATTTAGACTCTAGAAGAGACGCGCTTGTGGACTTAAAACCATTCAGTTTTGACTTTTTAACCATTGCTGGAACAAGGAACCAAAAAATCGCCAGAGGATCGCTACGCACAAATATGACGCCCTCTTTTACTACTTTTTACTAAATAAATTTGGCCAAATAAAAACTTGTAAGTGACTTAGCTTTGAAATTTTTTCTAGTTGTTAGCTCCCGCTGCTCTATCTGAGCACTTTTTCCATTATGTTTCGCAAAGAGACTTAAACAGTTGTTCCTTTTACTAGTTTTACCAAAAACGTTCATTCCGATTCATATGCACAAAATTAATAAGTGGCGCCCAACAGTTATACTCGACTTACCCAGTACCGATACCGCCAGCACTAATACAAATAATTTGGATACTTCCATTATTTGGGCAAAAACTTTAAAGTCACCAACTTCGAACCAAGTACTCCACACACTAGGCTCACATTGGAAATATATGTTCGCACTAAGCTTCATTTATAGGCCAAAATTATTTCACGCAACTAAAACGTATTTATTTATAAAAGTATTTATTTGAATACATTGTTGTTGTTGCTGCTGCTGTTGATTAACAAATAAAGCTGTTAAATTATGGGTGTTCGTTTGGAAACAATATGTGCTAAATAGAATTGCATTACCACGCTTGTCATATTTTCCTATCAAGTCAATACCTTGGTTTAGACAATTGATGGTTGGTATTATTTAATTATTTTATTTTGTTTTTGTGTCAGCTTCAAAACAAAAAAGAAATTGAAAAAATAAGTAAATAATAATGGAAATTCTAAAAATTGCATAAAAGTTTTTTATGTGAATTGTCATGGAAAAGGATCGGTTTCCCATTTTTGGAATTTTGCATTTTAAGAATATTTTGTTGGAGATAAAGGAAGAAGAGTTGAGGTGCCGATACAAATAAGTTTTTATACCCTCAGCCATATGGCTAGAGAGGGTATACATCGTTTGATACGGCCAAAACTTGCCTCATCGAAATAACGGTTTTAGACCCTAAGTCTCTTTGGACCAAATCCGTTTCAAGACATTTGGAGTCGATCTAGCTTCGTCAGTCCGTTTGTTCTGTCTGTCTGGCTGCCTGGTGCGCACAATAACTCTCGAAGGAAGTATCCGATTTGGTCTAATCTTGGTACATCGTAATATTATTTTTAAACAAAGATGGAATTCGGAGAAGGACAATATCGGTCCTCTCCTTCTGGTACCTCCCACATAAAATGCCAACATTTTCGAAAAAAATAATTTACTTTACAGAAAGAAAAAGATAATCCGATTTGACTCCAACCTTGCGAATACTAATATTTGCATCAGTGCCAGGTCAGGTGTGAAAATGGACAATATCGGTCCACTCCATAAAGTACCTCCCCCACAATGGGTCAAAATTTTGAATATAACTCTTATAAAATGTGACGTAAGAGTCCGATTGTCTTAAAATTACGCACATCACAATACTTTTATTAAACCAATGTCTGGTGCGAAGATTGGATATATCGGTCCACGTCTTCTAATACCTCTCCCACAAAGGGTCAAACATTTGAATAACCATGAAGCTCATAAAACTCGAAATTAATATCCGATTCCATTCAGACTTGGCACATCTCAATATTTCTATCAACACAAGATCTGTTATAAAGATGGTAGACATCGGACCATTCCTTCTGGTTCTGCATAACCAAAACGATTATAAAATCCAAAATAAGCATTCAGTTCTTCTGCTGTGAAGATGGTAGACATTGGTCCACTCCATCTGGTACCTCCCCCACAAATTTTTAATACCCATGAAGGTCATAAAACGCGAAATTAACATCCGATCCCATTTAGACTTGGTACATCTCAATATTTTCATCAACACAAGATCTGTTTTAAATATGTAGAGATCGGGGGGTATACTTCTGTCGGCAAACCAGACTAACACTTTTTAACTTTTTTTGTGGCTAAGTCACCGTAAAAGAACAAAGGAGTGTAGGGTGAACAAGACTAAAATATTGAACTAAGTCAACGTACAACCGCCAGCCAGCCGATGACTTAAGCCAGAAAGAAAATTCTTCTATGTATTTGCGCCTTTAAAGGTGAGAATACTTAAAACGCTGGCTTAAGTCATCGGCTAAGCCAGTCAAAAAAGTGTTTTATGCATTCTTTCCTTAAGGCTTCTCTCTTAAGGCGTAAAGTGACTCTTTCCAGATTTAACTTTAACATACTTTTGGGAGCTCCATTAACTAACAAGTAGTTTAGCCAGCCAGACGAAACGGCTGAAGCTGGAATCTTGAAATTTTGTACGAGGGTCAGTTTTGGTGCGTAGGGTACGAAAGATACTAAAATGTACCAAAAATTTAAAACTTTGTACGGAATGTCTTGTCGGAATGAGCTAGAATTCTAAAATTTGGAATGAGAGTAAAGCTGGGAAAACATAATGCGCTTATTTGACTGGCTTAAGTCATCGGCTGGCTTCTTCGTAGAGGAACAAAGCAAAGACCTAAAATGGTAAAGACTAGACAAAATGCATTCTGAGCAAATGGTTTGTGGCTATACTACCTTGAATAACAGTTCATGACAAAGGCATGTTAATATAAAAAACACAATTATAGGAAAGAATGACAAATAAAAGTTTGAATAAGCCAAAATATTAGTTTCAAAATTCTATTCCATATACCTTCCCAAACAATTGCATACTGCCTTAGCGGTTTAAATTGCTTAACATTGGTAACTATGTTGTTACGATATCATAACAACAGAGGTATTTTTCATAGGGTTGCCATATTTTACTCTGCCTTGTCCTATCTTTATACTTCTATGTCTTTGCTTTGTTCAAACTAATATTTTGGCTTATTCAAACTTTTATTTGTCATTCTTTCCTATAATTGTGTTTTTTATATTAACATGCCTTTGTCATGAACTGTTATTCAAGGTAGTATAGCCACAAACAATTTGCTCAGAATGCATTTTGTCTAGTCTTTACCATTTTAGGTCTTTGAACAAAGGAGTTTTAGGTTGACTTAGTTCGATTTTGACCCTAGGCTCCTTTGTTCATTTCCAAAGAAGCCAGCCGATGACTTAAGCCAGCCAAATAAGCGCTTTATGTATTCCCAGCTTAACTGATGGAGTGCAGAATTAATGTACCAAAGAGTTTTTTTTTTTTGGAAATTCGAAAGTAAGTTTAATGAATATGGTTCTGAAAATGTATACTTAGTGTGCGAACTGTACAACATTTGGAACAATTTGGTTAAGAGTGAACGGGTGAAGCTGGAACTTTGCATTTTTGTTAGTGGCAGATTTTTGAAAGTAATAAATAGTACTATATTTGGTACAATTTGGTATTGGGTGAACAGATAATGGTTGAAAATCTGAAATTTTTGTATTTCATGTGCAAATTTTGGTGAAATTCGGCTCATCATGTGTAATCGGGACTATTGATAATTTGGGCTGGTATTCCGTGCGTGCTATATTTGTACGAAAAGTACTAAATGGTACTACATTTGGTATTGGGTGAAGGGATAGTACTGGTATCCTTAAATTTGCTATTAAGATAACTGATGGTATCTGTTTTTAAGATTTGGCGGTGGTTTGGAACTGCATCCTACATTTGTACGAAAAGTACTACATGGTACTAAATTGGGTATTAGGTGAAGGGATGGGGCTGGTATTCCGAAATTTGATGTTGTGGTATCTGTTGGTATCTGAGATTGAGATATGGAGGTTGGTTAGAAAATGCGTTCTATATTTGTACGAAAAGAACTGAATGGTACCAAACTTGGTATTGGGTGAAGGGATAGAGAAAAAAAGTTTGATATTTGGATAACTGAGAGCATCTGTGTTTGAGATTTTGCGGTGGTTTGGAAATGCATCCTATAATTGAACGAAATGTACTAAATTGAACTAAATTCATTATTGAGTGAAAGGATGGCTGGAATCCCGCAATTTGATATTGTGGCATGTGTTGGTATCTGAGATTGAGATATGGAGGTGGCCATAATTGTACGAAAAGTACTAAGTAATATTAAATTTGTTATTGGTTGAAGGAATATAGCTGAAATCTTGAAATTTGATATAGATGTCACTGTTGGTGTCGTCGGTCTAGACATGGCGGTGGTTTGTGAATGCTAATAGATTTGGTAAATTTCACAGCGGAAATCCTGAAACTTGATATAGTCATGTATATATAGTCATGTATAGGAGTTCTTGGAACCATCAATCAATTGTTAATTTTATTCATTTTTTGTTAATTTGTTTTAGTGTTTAATTTTAAGTAATTCTTTTAGGATTAAGGATATTATAATAATTTTAGAGTAGTCATGTATGGAAGTTTTTTGAACCGTCCATGGCCCTGTTGGCTAGGTTTCTGTACTAATTGAAAATAAATAAATAAATAAAAAAGATGTCACTGTTGGTATCTGATATTGAGATATGGAGATTGTTTTGCGAATGCATAGTTTAACTGCGCGAAAGAACTGAATTTGATGTGGATGTCACTGTTGGTGTCTGTAGTTGAGAGAAAGCGGGGGTTTTGGAAATGCGTACAAGTGCAAAATTACACAAAATATGCCGTTGGGTGTTGGAATTTAGATATTTGTTTCTAGGGTTAAAATATGGTGATAATGACCTAATTTTGAAAAGAAAATAATAAAACTAATATCCCACTCGGTAAACTTCAAAATAAAATATTTTTTTTGCTGACTGCTATCATGTCGTGTTTACTTGCCAAAGAGGTCAGCTGAAAATGTGCTCCATCGGCCATGGTGATGGTGTGGGCCACCATAACAGCCGATGATCGCTCTCCGCTCGTATTAATCGACTGTGGCATCAGAATAAATGCCGAATATTATCGCACTTAGCAAGCGCCACCCAAGAATGGTTACAAAATGAGATTCCTCGCTTCATTTCCACCATCCCCATGGCTACCATGGCCACCAAAATATCCGGATACCAATCCCTTGTGTCTGGAGTATTTTGGAAAGCAAGGTTGGCACTAAAAAATACCAAAGTGTCGATCCCATCAAACAAACGTTTCGCCGGGAATGGGCCAAAATACCACAGAGCATCATTCGGGCAGGGTGTGACGGTTCCATTGACCATTTAAAGGCCATAATTTGCCAAAGGTGACCAATTCGAACAAATCTAAAGTTTTTCTAAAATTTGATGCTACTTCCGACATTTTTGCTTTCATTCAATAAAATTTAAAAATTATGGCATTTGACTTTGTTGCAGTTTTTTATCTCACCCTGTATATAACCTGGAAAGTCTGAAAATTTAGTACGGCGTATAAAGTTTTGATTAAAAATTGTAGTCAAACTGAAAAAGTTGTGAATTTTGAGTAGCAAAAAGGTCTACCACGAACTTATGGCACGAATCTAAAATTTTACAGTGGATTTTTCGCTAACAAAGTATCGGGCACTAGTATATACTTTGCGTAGTATGTGAACCCTTAGAAATAAGTTATAAAAATTCTAAATATAAAATGTAAAGTTAAGTCACTTTACACATGACTCTAACATAATATGTGATCGGGATTTACGTTTTTTTTTGTCGACTTTTTGTCAAATGTAGTCTTCTAGTCCAAACTTATTTCGGCCTTGGTATAGTCCAACTTTAGAGACAACTTTTCTTTCGAGACTTTAATTAATTTACATGTTTTATTTAATTAAACATTAATTTATCTGCCTTTCAATAATGTATATAAAACAAATTATTATTACATACGTATTAACATATTACAAACATTGCCAATATTCAAATTTCAATTTTTACGAGTCATCAATTTTCCAGCTTCAACATCTTCGGGCAAGGCATCGTAACTCAATTTGAATTCCTCCAAACGACAGCAGAAGGTATAACCTTTCGAGAGAGTTGGGAAATTGTCATGTTTCAAATCGGCCTGGTCGCAAACATTCTCACAAATCTCCTCTGCTTCACCATTGGCTGCGAATGGATTGTTGACCGTTACAAAGACAATGCCCTCGTCGGAGGGTTTATGCAACAACACTTTGAAATAGTACTTGGGAGCTTCAATCTTCTTGCCATCATCCAAGAAGATATCAATCAGCTGACCATTCGACTTTTCCAACTGCAACTGACCCAAATAACCGTTGTATGTCTCCAAATCATCGCCATAGGAGGCGGCAACAGAACGTGCCAACTCCTCAACACGCAACCAATTTCCAGCATTGATGAGTTGATATTCCGGTGCAACATTGGTATAGAAATATGTGGCCAGCTGTTCGTAACCAAAAATGAAGTCAGCATCTGGTGTCAAGTGGCCACGGGCGAAATAATCTGAGCCATCAATGTAGGTCTGCTTCGAACCGAACAGTTTCTTGAACAACTCGACTTGATTGGCTTGGGTATAGTATTTGTTGGTCTTTGTGGTGGTATATTTCATGCCCTTGGCACTGAACGAGCGGCGTGTACTTTCCGAGATAGCATCTGCAGGGAGAGAAAGAAAGACAGAGGTAAGGTCAGGAAGTAAAAATTATTAATAATTCGAAAATAAATTCCAACAACAGATTTTCCAATTTTCCGGACAAATATTTCCATATAAATGATCTCCAATTAAATTATTCAAAAACACCCACATATTCGAATTATAAATGTTTTCGGATAGGTTCTCCATCCCCCCACCCCTTTCTACTTACTATCAATGGTGGCTCCATTTATGGTATTGTGCGTGTAATAGGTGTGTTCGATATCATTGTTATAGCAAATCTCAAATACGGGACCATAGAATTTCTTGTTGACCGTGAAGCCAGGTTGATGGATAACACCACGATTTTGGGAACATGACTCATCGGTTACCCTCAATGTTGGACTGGGTATGGATTTGCAAACCAAATCCTTCAAGTCGTACGCATTGTTATTGGCATCAACAAATTGATCACCGGAACAGGTCAATTCCAGGGTACTCTTCTTCTCGGAGACAATAACATTTTTGCTGCCGGTGCAAGCCAACAAGAGCTTGGTGCCATCGGATAGTTCAGTAGTTTTACCGCTGGGTTTGAATAGTTCATAATCCTTATTGGAAGAGGTGCGCGTCAACAGTACCGGGGCAAAACCCTTTACGTCGTCGGGTAAAGTAATGCTGCAGGCGTTGGCCACAATTGCTAAATTGGAGATTGGAAATTATTTTATTATCCTCCCACTGAAAAAGGACCCCCCACAAGTCTAATGCACTTACCCAAGCCACAGGCGAGGGCCACAATTGCAATACCCTTCATCATTTTCAAAGTAGTGCAAGTTGCTCGAGCTATGTGTTTCCAAAGAACCGTTGGTTGGTTATACCTCGATAGACGGAATGCAACGCTATATATAGCCCAGTTTTCCTCTCCCTAGAAGCTTCATATTCTATCTGTTTGACTTTGTCTGGTCATGTGCAAACAATTTATATTCCAGACTAGAACGTGTAGTCTGATCCATTGTTAACTGGACATTGTATCTATTCGAATCGATTGTCTGGAGTCAGCCAATATCAGCATTTTTTTTTTTTCTTATTGAATAACTGGATCATCTTTGAGGATTGAAATGTTGTAACAGAAGATCTGATATTTACTTTTGAATTGAACAAAAAACACACTAGCCCCTGTGAAGTAAACGTAAATATCAGAAAAATGTGTGTTCCCGTAGCAAAAAAAAAAAAAATTACAAAACAAAAAAATTGCAAAACTGGTACACTCTTGCAGGTTCTGAGACAGAGCAACAGTAATAATCTGATTGGAATTAGAAATTCTTTTTGGGACCTGAATTCTAAGAAGCTGTCATTTGAACTTCCAACAAAATGATTAAAATTCGAATATGATGTACCAAATAAAGGATATGATACTTTCTTTTTAAGTTTACAGAGAAGAAGATTTGGTAACATAATTTTCCGAATGATATTGTCTAGTGCAGAACTGTATTTATACAATGTATTTATACCAGAAGAAAATCTCAATTTCTAAAGGGTTTTTCGAATTCTAAATTTAATTAAACTCAAATTAAAAAAAAAAAAAACAAACTAACAACAAAAACAAAAAAGCTCTAAGTTCGGCAGGGCCGATCTTTTAATACACTTCACCATTTGGAACGAATTTGGCAATTTTCAAAAAAATAAAATCCGTTAAAAATGTTGTTAAAATCTTAAAAATACCGAATGTAGATGTTATATTAGGGTCTATACGACGACATGGACCTGCGTAGTTAACTTTTGTCATAAGTCATTACAATATTCAAATGCGAAACTTAAAAAAAGTCGATTAATAATGTAGCTAAAATCATCAAAATACCAAATAACGGGAGGTACAGTTGTATGGGGGGCTATACGTAGAAGTGGACCTGCACAGACAATTTTCTGATTTAGGCTGTAGTATTAATTACGAACTTAAAACACCAAATTTGAAACAATTCCGGTGAATAATGTCGCTAAAATCATCAAAATACCGAATATCGGGAGGTACCGTTATATCGACGCTGTGCGAAGACCTGGACCAGCATAGACAATTTTCTGTCACAGGCTGTAGCATCCATTACGAACTTCAAATACGACATCTCAAACAATTTCGGTGGGTATTGCATCTAAAATCGTCAAAATATCGAATATTTATTTATTTTTTTATTTATTTATTTAATCTATTAGTCTATGGATAATTCCTTACAGACTATATATGTACATAACAAATAATTGTATAATTAAAATTAAGAATTTAAAAACATTATTATTTTACTTTTTATAGTATTAATATCCATTGTAAAATCGATAAAATTATAAAACGCGTTAAAATCTTTTGAAATTCTTGTTAAAGGATCAGCGTTTGCATAGCTCATCCTGGAGAATTGAATTGCTAGTGGTGCATAGTGGCGGGTAGTACGTTGAGGAACATTGAAATTTATGTTGTTAACAAGAAAGCCAGCAGAAATATCACCCATAATCACATTATAAAGAAATGAGACATTTAGCATTTTTCTACGGCTTTCCAGAGTTGGCAGCTTGATCAGTGAGAGTCTATCAGTGTATGGTGGAAGATTATCATATGAAAAGTTCAAACTTCGTAGACAGAAAAGTAGGAATTGTTTTTGAACAGACTCGATGCGGTCGCTGTGTGTTTTATAAATTGGATCCCATATGACCGAAGAGTATTCCAAAATTGGGCGAACAATTGACATGTATAAATTTTTTGAAACATAAGGATCCTTAAACTCTTTACTCCAACGTTTCACAAAACCAAGAACTGATTTTGCTTTGTTTATAGAAACAGAAATATGAGATTTAAAGTTAAGTTTACAATCCAATACAACTCCAAGATCAACGAATGTATCAACTTTTTCCAGAGAATAATCACCGAGGGTGTAACAAGTATCCAATAATTTTTTTCTTGTGAATCTCATAAGTTTGCATTTCGAATAATTAATTTCCATAAGATTAATGTTGCACCAGTTAACAAACGAATTCAAATCATTTTGAAGCAGCTGATTCTTACATATCTCCGAAATGCTAAGAAATATTTTCACATCGTCGGCATACATCAAAATATTTGAAAATTTTATAGATGAAGGTAGATCATTTATAAATAAAGAAAATAGGATTGGTCCTAGATGACTTCCTTGTGGGACTCCAGAAGAAACCATAATACTCTTCGAAATGGCGTTTTTAAAACATACTTTTTGTGTTCTATTTTGTAGATATGAAAAAATCCATTCGGAACTTCTATTTGTAAATCCAATGTTTTTAAGTTTTAATCGTAATAATTTATGATTAACTTTATCGAATGCCTTGCTGAAATCTGTGTAAATTACATCAGTTTGCTTTCCTTGAAGAAATCCTCGATTTATAACTGTAGTGAACTGAATGAGGTTTGTTGTTGTAGAACACTTCCTCTGAAATCCGTGCTGATAGGGTGAAACAATAGAACTAATGCAATGGATAAGGTTTTCAGTAATCAGTTTTTCGAAAAGCTTTGGAATCACGCTTAATTTTGCTATTCCTCGGTAATTGGCCACATCAGATTTATTTCCGTTTTTAAAGAGTGGAATGATATACGATGTTTTCCAAACCTCAGGAAAAACAGCTTGAGTTATGGAAGCATTGAACAATATGGAAAGAGGATAAACAAAAGCATCGGCGCACTTCCTTAGGATGCAACTCGGGATATTATCTGGTCCAAAATCATAGCTATACTTTAAAGTTTTCAATACATTTAAAACCATAGAGCTGTTTAATAGTGAAATAGATATTGATTGATTAGTATTAATTTCGAAGGGGTAGTTGTTGCCGCTAAATGTTTTAGTAGAATATGTTGTACTGAAGAAGTCTGCAAACATGTTAGATATAACATTTATATCACAGGATTCAGCATCATCGTACTTTAAATTTGGTGGAAAATCGGTGGATTTGCGCTTCGAATTGACAAATTTGAAGAAAGACTTCGGATTCTGTTTAAAGTTGTTTTTGAGTTTTGTCAGATAATTTGAATAGCAAATATTATTCATAGTAGTATATTCAGACCGTGCTACAGAATATCTTCCGTAGTCAATGGAAGATCCTGTCTTTTTGTATTTCTTATATTGTTTATTTTTCACATTTTTAGCCTTTGCCAAAGCTGTAGAGTTCCATGGTGGCCCAGAAAGCTTCTTAATTACATATTTCGGTACGCTAATATCAATAAAATCGTATAGCTTTTTGTAAAAAATATCGATAGCACCATTTAAATCGTAAGTGCTAGACAAAAGGATATCCCAGTCTGTGTTATGCATAAGTTCACATAACTGCTCAAAGTTTGTTTTCGAAAAACATAAGGATTTCTCACTTTGAGTCACGGGTATGATTTGGTTTCCAGTAGGAAACGAAACATTAATTTTGATAGTTGGATGGTGCTGGTCTTCGGGAAATGTTAACGGATCAATTCGTTGAATGTAACATTCATCCACTTGATTTACAAATATCAGGTCCAATAACTTATTATAGGTGTTACGGATACAATTTATTTGAAAAATACCAAGATCAAAAAGTGTATCGAAGAATAATTCATAAAATTTGTGTATATTTTCGGGCAGCAGGTATTTATCCCCAGGTAAAAAATTCCACAACATGTTTGGTATATTAAAATCGCCAAGTATACAAATTAGATCCTCTGGCTTAGTTTTTTGTAAAACTGCTTTTAATGCATGGCTATGCTTTTCATAAATTATTTGCGGTGATGATGGAGGAATATATGAGCATGTTATAAACATTTTTTTCAAATTGTTTTTTACTTCGACAGCAATGAACTCAATATCAAGGGAAGAATCAAGATCCAGTAATTGGCACGAAAATATATTGGAAACAGCTATGAGCACTCCACCGCCGTTGCTTACACGGTCACGTCTAAAGATATTGTATTTGTTTGACAGAATTTCCGAGTTTAAAATACGTTAATTTAACCAGGTCTCAGTCATTACTAAGATATGATGTTCAAAGGTAAAACTGTCAACATACAATTTCGATATTTTAGATCGAATACCGCGGACGTTTTGATAGGCAATAGATAATGTATCATTACAAAAAGTGCTTAGTTTTTTGAAAAGTTAACAGAGTTTTGATGAATGTAACCATTATTATCAGGCATTTGTCTTTCTCTATATACGTATTCACGAACTATAGTATGTTTCGGCCAGAACTCAGGATCAATAAGACGAGTATACATATCATCAGAGGTTGTAATTTTGAATGATGCAATTGAACGTTGTTGCGTTGTAGGGAGGTACTGATATATGGGGCTATACGAAGACCAGGACCTGCATAGACAATTTTCTGTCACAGACAGTATTTCCCATTACGAACTATAAATACGTAATTTGAAACAATTCCGGTGAATAATGTCGCTAAAATCGTCAAAATACCGAATATATGGGGTCTATACCAAAACGTGGACCTATATGGCCCATTTCAAAAAGTCCTGCAGACATAATATACATTTCGGAAGCTAGAGTGATTTCCACAGACGGACGGACATGGCTAAATCGACATAGAATTTTGTGCTGATCAAGAATATATATACTTTGTTGGGTATATGTATATTTCGAATGACAAACATATATACCCTCCATACTATGGTGGAGGGTATAAAAACAAGTTAAAACCAGTAAAGAAAGTCCTAATGTCGGGCGGGGCTGACTTTATGATACCCTACACCACTTTGCTAATTTAGGAGAGCTACACATAACAATTAAAAGTTTTTATGGTAGAATTTAATCATACACGCTATGATTATAATTATTATTTAAAGTTCAAAGGGCTAAATATTTGTATCTTTTAAATTCGGACTTGTATTGCCCATTTGGTGCAAAATTAATTTGAAATCAGATAAAGATATCTATGGGAG